AATGCCAGCAGCTCCATGCTGTCAACCTCAATCTAGCCCGCCATCGGGCAGCAACACGAGCAACGGTCGCGCTTCCTGTCGCAGCATGTTCGCTGAACGCCGAGACGCTCGTCTGCCCCAGAGGTGTCGCCGACACGAGGTGAGACGCCGCGCACGAGAGCAGCAGCCGCGACGAGAGGCGAGACGCCGCGACGAGAGGCGAGACGCCGCGACGAGAGGCGAGACGCCGCGACGAGAGGCGAGACGCGCCGACGATGAGGTGAGACGCCGCGACGGAGAGCGTGAGACGTCTCGCGACGAGAGTGAGAACGTCGGACGCGCAGAGGCGAGACGCCTGCCGACGCGAGCGCGAGACCGCCGCCGCACGGAGGCCGTAGACGCCGCGCACGAGAGGTGAGACGTCGCGACCGGAGAGGTGAGACGTCGCGACGAGCGAGGTTGTCAGGCCATTGTGTGCAATGTTGCGCGGAAGGAGGCCAGCAAAGCAAACTGGCACGACGTCAGTGCCAAGCTTGCTAGTACCGAATTACTTTATTTTTTTATTTTTTACGGTGACGTAATCACTTTAAATTGTGGTGCGGCCACACAGACTCTAATATGACGATGTTGATGAGGCCACCCTTAAAAAATTGTCTGTTTCCCCTTTACCTAATCACCTCTCAGAGTAGGTAGGTAGGTGAAAAATCTTTTTTATTTTTTTTGACAAGATGTGTGTATGTATATTGTATATTCTGTTTTGTGTATATGTTTTTGCGGAACGGATTTTTTTTTTTTGGCGAAACGAAATAATTTTTGTTTTGTTTTAATCGGCCAATAAAATGTGCCGAGTAGCGGCGTTTTGGCGAGTCGGTCGGTAAAGGGGAAACAAGCAATATTTTATCTTAGGCCTGGGGTAGAATCTGTGTGCCCACGTGTGTGTGAGAGAGAGTGATTCACTACTCTCTAGAGTCTAGTGCGACAAGTTATCAGGTGTGCAGTCAAACCTATGTTAGTAGACACCTCTACCAGTCTACAGAACAGATACATGTCAGATACTTTTGGTATTCATACACTTAGTATTTTGTATATATACAGGACGCTCTAGCAGTGCTGCCACTTTATACTTTTTTTTAAGAAAATGTACTTTTTTCATGCCAAAATACTTATAAATACTTTTATTTGCCAAAGATAGTCAAAACTCTTCGGACATACATTTAGGTACACTGGATTTGATGAGATTAAAGATGTGCTTTGCTAGTCTTGTTGCAGGAGTGATGTGTGCTCTGTTCAGTGGAGTGTTTTCGCTCTCAGCTCTGCTGTCAGTGCGCATTGCACAGTGTTTCCCCTGCATTGACACGAGCTAGGCGGGTCGCCTCGCTCAAATTCTCAGCCGCCACACAGAAATTTGTCCAAAACACCGCCTCGCTGATGAAACTGTTGACAACACAACTTGAAAAGGAGATTTAATAGTCTCATAAAATGTGTTCAGAATAGCTTAGAATGCACCAAATTGCACCATTTTTTCAAACATTTCCTGGGGGAGCATGCCCCCGGACCCCCGTAGCTTGGCCAGCACCTGCGCTGCTCACTTTGCTAGGACCTCGAAATGCGCAACCGTCACAAAAAACATTTACCACCTCACAGAGCTTTCTGGACAGGGGAAACACTGCATTGAAATATTCCAGACTGAGGATTCAAGAGACAACTCCTCATGGCATTGCACACATCATTCCTGAAGCTTGTTTGTATGCTGCACATAGGCTATAATGTATTCGGTAACAATGTATAAGGTAAAACGTGACTACAAATCATGGTAGGTTGATACAAATTTATACTTTTTTAATACTTTTTTTTAGACAATTTTGATACTTTTTTTCTGGACAGATATTATAATTTTTTTGTAATATCCTGAGTGGCAGCACTGCTCTAGGCATATCCCTCGATTGACAATTATACAGTTTTGTAACCGCCTTTGTGGAACGGACGCATGGTTATTAAGGACGACAAATCTTTGAGCGACCCTTATTATACACGTGTATGTGATTAATGCACAGTGCAAATGAGCTGGCACGTGTCGTGTGGCTCTATAGACCCTTCGTCTCGTATAGACGTATCGTATAGACGTATAGATCGTATATACCCTTCGTATAGATCGTATAGACCCTTCGTCTCGTATAGACGTATCGTATAGACGTACATACATACATACATACATACATACATACATACATACATACATACATACATACATACATACATACATACATACATACATACATACATACTACATACATACATACATACATACATACATACATACATACATACATACATACATACATACATACATACTACATACATACATAGTACATACATACATACAACATTCGGCAAATTATAGTAAGATAGGGCATATATTATAGAGTATATAAGAAGTGGAACAAGTAAAATATGTAATAGAATAAGTACAGCAGATGGCAGGCACGATAGTAACCATGGCGCTGCTTGGTGTAATTTAAAAAAATTTCCTGCACGTGGCGCCGCGACACTGCTCACTTGTTTAACGGGGGAAAACAACGGGCTGTTGCCGCCGGAAAGAAGTTTTTCATCTCCTCACTCTCAGCATCACCGGCCTTTACCGGCCTGACACCGGGGATTTCCATCTTTTTATCGTCTTTCACAATTTCGTGTTGTTTAGCTGAAAATCGATAGATAGCAAGATAAGAATGGCCCACCCTGATGTGACAAAGGAGGTGTTCCTCTGGGGAATGTCTGTCATCTATCTGTTCGCCTTCGCATCACTCTATTACCAAATACCAGGTGATGTCAGATGTGTAATTACTAATTATTAATATTAATATTATTATTACTACTATTAGTATTAGTATTACTATTTAGTATTAACTAATAATATTATCAGTTATAAGCTATTTATTGTGTGTTATTCACAGTCGTAACAACCGTCTCATGACAAGCCACATTGAAGACACAGTTACTCAATTCAATTGCTGGACGTTTTTAAATAGTTTAGCTTCAATGCAAATAGTGAAATACTACTAAATACGTTGACATTTTTAGCTCAGCTGACGAAGTCAGATGCAGCTTGTAGAATCGCATGATTGTCCGTCCGTCCGTGCGTCCGTCCGTCAACAGTTGGGCTCAAATCGTAACCGCTCGACGTACGATCTTGATATTCGGGACGTCAGGACTTGGGATGTCGAATTTGGGGGTCAAGAGTCAAAGATCAAGATGTGTCAATGGACGGGGAATATTTCCCCCTTAACTTAAGGTATAGGAGGAAATACGGAATTGCGGCACAAATCTCAACGGCTCGACCTACGCTCTTAATATTCGATGTATAGTGTGATGGGGAGGAAACCTATCACCCGCGCGAAATTGGAGGTCACAGGTCAAAGGGCAGTGGGGCAAAGGTCAGATATCAGACTGACACCACCCACCACCACCACCACGCTCGCACTCGACGCATATCTATGATAACATGTTAATATAACGAAGTCATTAAAGTTACACAGCTGTATCTTTATTACTGTACCAGGGTGCGAAATTAACGGGAGTCCGGAGTCAAATACTCCCTGATTTACTGCCGGACTTCCTGATTTGACATATGCAGGAGTCTGTGTGACTCCCTGAAAATTCTGCCATACTAACTAGTTCGTTCCAGAGCACGGCCTCCAGTGTTGTAGTCGAGTCCGCACCTCCCGAGTTCAAGTCCGAGTCCGCGCCACCTGAGTCCGAGTCCGAGTCCACACCACACGAGTCCGAGTCCGAGTCCAGTTTTGATTAAAAAAAGGGGAAAAAGGGGAAAAATCGCAACAGTGCATCGTAGACATTCGAAAGTGTATAGTCAGCCGAAAACAGAGACACAAGTCATACGAAACGTGTCCAAGTAACGGATCCATTTGTGTTTTACGAGAATGACACGGCTTGTTGAACCAAATGAGAGAGTGCTAGTACCTTCGAAGTGGTAGAAGAAGAGAAAGAAGTTGTAAAAAAAGCGCAAAGGGACGAAGTGACAGCAGACTCAAACCAAAGGGACAAGAATCTTAATCGAGCCATTGAAAACGTTACAAGATGAGGCTGTGTATCTAGAAAACCTAGGAGTTTTAGTTTTAAATTCTTGTAAACTGCATGTTACAATATGTACAGTTGTGTACTATGTATGTAGTGGCCTCGACCGAGTCTCGAGTCCGGAGGGCTCGAGTGCGGTGCGAGTCCGAGTCATTGCACTCCGAGGCCAAGACCGAGACCGAGACCAAGGAAACGGTTCTCGAGGCCGTCTCCCCGCCAAGACCGCCTCCGAGACCTACAACACTGACGGCTCTCAGCAATTACCGGTTTTTCAGCTAATGTCCAAGAAATTTGGCTGACATGCAACCGCATGAATCTTAAAAATAAGCACATGCGTTATTGTTAATATCTTTCATATTGTAACCTTCAGACTGGGACTCCCTCATTTTGCTCGCGACTCCATCTTTTTGAGGTAGGGTCGTGGACTCCCGTGTTCAAAAGTTAATTTCTACCCTGCTGTACTACCAGTAGGTATAGCAAAGCTATCATAGATTTTAGATCTGTATTAGCAGTATCCTAGGTATAATATGCTCTGAGTGCGAACGCGGTGGCAGGAGGGTGCACTTGATTTGGTTGCCATTGAGTTTATCAGAAGAATACCTGGCTACAGTACACATCAGTTGAGCACTGTCGCTCTGCGGCACTTGTTTAATTATAATTCAAGTAATAATTCATTAATTGGTCAAAATATTTGATATCTGCAAAAACTGCCATTTCAAAAACAATAATTAAGACTAAAAACTTGCAAGTAAAATAGTGATCAGTTAGTATCAAAATATAACTTGCTGTAGCAGGTTAATTTTCAATTGAATTTGTGTTTGATGGATTTCTAAGTATGCGATTTGATTTGTTTAGGTCTATATGGAGACAAGGGCATTTTGCCTATCAAGCCAGAACTGAAATATGGTGAATATGAATGTTATTCAACTATTACAATAAACACAATTAAAAATGATAGATGCAATAGTAGCTTTGTTATACCCTTTATCCAAACATAAAGAACCATACAGTCTGCATGGTCATATGTTTTTGAGCAGTAGTATGCAGAGTCGAAGGTAGAGCTGATCATCTAAAGTAATAGAGACTGAAATAACTAAAGTGATATACTGTGCATGGAGCCAGGTTCTCACGCGCTTTGTTTCTTGGGCAGTACACAGCTGCACAATAGATTATAAATAAATCGACGACACCATATATATATATATATATATATATATATATTATATATATACATATGAATGGCTTTACTACGAAATGAATCTCACGTGCAGAGTGCAAAGATGGATCAGAGCACTGCTCGTCATGGGCCGGGCGAGGGGAGTGTGACAGGAACCCTGACTACATGCTGAAACAGTGCCAGAAAAGCTGCAAAGTGTGCACAGGTTAGTCCTTCTTCTTCTTTATCTTCCTGTAGGGCTTCGCCCAGGAGTTGTTTTCCAGCCACTACGTCGAAAAACTAAAGCAAGGCAAAAAAATTATAAAAACAAAAACAAAAACTTCACGCAGTAAATAGTTGACAGCAGACTCATTAACATCCAAACGACTGTAAAACTTCGACGCGGTCGATGATTTAAGCCTGGACACACCATGCGAATTTATTCGCACGTCCGCACAGGGCTTGCCCTTAACTTTTTTTTCAGGTGGCCGGCCGGGCCACTTGAGTATGAGATTCAGGTGGCCAAATGGA